CAAGTTTTGTGCAAAAACGCATGATCGCTCCGGCTCGCCTGGTGCGTTCCAGCCTAGGTTCCAATGTAAATCCTTAAAAATATCTGATGTCGGCTGAGATTGTCACTGCACGAATCTGCTAAATGAAAAACGGTTGCTGATGGACGTCGGGAATGGAATCGAGCAGTGATTATGATTCGTTACTGTCTAACTTGGTCAGATCCTATTTTGCTGAGATTTTTTCTCTGCATATATATATCCTTGCTCACACTGGTCGTGCGACCATTTGTCACTGAAGTCTCGGTGGTAGGGCACTAAATTTGGATCTTTCAACTAACTTTTCGTGGCGAGCCAGAGATTTTTGACATTCGCAGCCAGATTTTCTACTTCATCTTTCAAAAAACTAAGAAAAACGGCATCTGGCTTCTATAATGATCCTGTTTGGAAATGGTGATAATAAATTTTGATCAGTTTGTTTAAAATTAGCTCGAAAATTAGCTCATTTTATATTTCTTTCCGGCAACTAACGGCAAGTTCCTTGAGACATTAGTTTAAAAAATATTGCTAAAAGGCGGGTAGGGCACAATTGAACATTGCATACTTGTTACGTATCAGTGATTATCCGTGAGAGGATAAGCATGCTTCAGACACGCAGCTCTGTGCTGCTTTTCTCCTTATTTTGCAAGAACGGTGGGTTTTTTTTAAACAAATAACAGCGCTGACTAAGTGATACTGCTTGACAAAAATGGTCCACGTTTTTCACCTTCACCTTCGCTTGCTCATGCTCAGCGTTTTTGGCCCAACGAATTTGCGTAGTTCCTCCCACTTTGATTCTAGCACACTTTTTGGTTAAATTCTGCACTGCTTTGCTATCGTAGTTATCCGAATCTCTTTCTTTATTTGCGAGCATCCAGTCTGAATGCAAAAGCAGGCATCTCTTTCCCTTTCCATTTCTCTGTATTTTTCTTCACAAAAAATGCTCAGCGCTTTTCAGTCAGCAGCGACATGTGCGGAAGAATTCGTGGAATTTGTACCTTTGCCAGCAGTTGACTATAAAATCCAGTTTTCTGTCGCGGTCGCTGGAATTGGTCTTCTGCGTGGTGAATTTGCCCAGGGTGGCTCCATTCGATTTCATCTTCCGGAAGTCCATATAGTTATTTCCCGTCCAGCAAAACAGGCAAGTGAACTACATCAGAATATACGGTCCAGTGGAATGGAGAATTGGTGTTGTCTTGAAAGGACCGTGGATCAGTGGCTTAATAACTTAATCTTGAACTGAAAATGACATTGTTCTATCCCCACAGACACCAACTGGCTAGCGGCATACAAAAGAAGTGATATATAAAAAGGCGCACCAGTTATATAAGAGGCAACGGCTTTAAATGGGAATTTTTAGAAACATTTTTTGAATGGTTCTGGATTTAAACAGTTTTCCGGGTATAGCAGCAAATTTTACTTTGATCTTAAGTTTTTAACAAGGAATTCTAAATCTTAAATTGTATACTTTTTTCGGGGGTCGTATGCGAGATTTAGGAGCGTATGTGCGAAGACTTTAAAACA